GCAGAAGAGCAAGGCAGAGAGAGTTGGGAAAAACCCAAATCTGGCCTCTCTACCCAAGACTGGTGCCTGGGGCTGACTGGAAATGGTCCTTCATTTCCAAAAGGCAATGTCAGAAACATAATTCACTCTAGATATTCAAGGCTGAGCTCAGGAGCCTAAACATGGGCACTCCAGAACCTCTTTATTCAGAGGGTGGGGAGGCCCTGAGAAGCTGCAGCTGTCCCTGGATCTCTGGAAGTGTTGAAAGCCAGGTTGGACGGGACTTGGAGCAACCTGGGACAGTGGAAGGTGTCCCTGCCCATGGCAGGGGGTGGAACCAACTTAAAGGTCCTTCTCAACTCAAACCTTTCTAGGATTCTTTGATTTCTGTGATTCTCTTGCTGCTGAAGGATACTGGAGGTCTCCAATAAATCCCCCATTACATGTGCCAGCCCTATTCAAACCCTGCTCAGGCACACCCAGCCCCTTTCATTTTGATGTTCCCTCCCAAACAGCAGCCTTTTGCTGCCATCTGTTCCAGCCAGCCCCAAATCCCCAGCCAGCCCCAAATCCCCAACCAGCAGCAGGTTTGATGGAGGAGGAGAGCCAGTGGCTGAGAGCTCCAACAGCTTTTTCCAGCTCTGGTAAGGTGAGCACAGCTGCTCTGTGTCAAAGTCATTCTCTGGGGTATTTTTAGTCAAAGCCAGAGCATGAGAGGCCAGATCCTCAGCAGTGCTGATTTACACCCCCCAGAGCCAGCCTGTGCAGCTCTGCACTGAAACAGAGCTAAAAAAGGACCCAAAGAACAAACTGAAATTGCTGCCTCTGATCTCCCTCCTCTGTCGATTGCTCAACATCTTTCCTGACAAGCTACAAGCGTAACAGGATCATTCAAGTTCACTAATTTCCCAAACCCAGCTAAAAACAGCTGCTGGGATTGTGCAAGAGCTCCTGGAGAAATTTCCATTGGCAGAGCTACCCACAGCCTGGGCCCAGAGAGTAAATCCCAGAGGATGGGGAATGTGGAAGGGCGCTGGCACACGCCCCCAAATATTTGTTGTGTTGTAGTTTGAAGAGCACTTGATGTGAAAAGACTCAAGTACTGCAGGCCCTGCCCTGATTGCTGGCCTGGAACCACTGGGAGCTGGGATCCACTGGCTTCATTCTGCTGGGACAGCCCTGTTTCAAAGTCTTTTCTCTTTTCCTTTAGGTTTTTGAGGATTTCACACTCCAATCCTTCCCTGAATCCTCCTAAGGGGAACACAACGCTGCTCTGTGTGTGCATTAATTGGAATAACCAATTTCCTGAGCAGTCCTGCAGCACAGGCTCATTTAGAAAAGGAATTAAAATCCGACAGAGATGTGATTTCTGTCAATCCATTGGAAATCCATCTAAATTCCACCTAGCTGGAACAATCACACCCTGCACTTACTCAGGAGAAGCTTCAATGAGTTTGGCAGCCCCACTTCTGAAGCAGCCACCGTCACTGACAGGGCAGAGAGAAACAAGTCCCGTGGGACCCCAAAATTTCCTCCTAAAGCCCCACAGAAGGTGTCTGGAAAACCTTCACCCTGAGGTGATGCTGAAGAGCCTGACTTTGTGTCAGACTAACCTTGTAAGGTAAAGAGGGACATAAATAAAAATTAACCAGGCTCCGCCTTATATTAAGGCTTTCCCCTGTGCCAGGAGGATTTGTGTCTCCCAAAGGCCCTTCCATGGCTGAAATGCAGCACTGGTGTGAGCACAGCCTCTTGCAATCAGTGTTCAGATCTTTGCTACCAGCAGCATCCAGGGCTCTCTCTTCCCTCCCCTGAAAACATTTTAAGGTTTGCCCCTGAGAACAGCTGCAAAAACCTCCCTGAACCACCACACTGTGAGAATGATGAAATCACCTGTGTTAAAGAAAAGGTCAGAAAAGGGAAAGACACTGCTGAAATTTAGGCAGAAAAACAACCCCAAAAAGAGAAGTTTACCCAAAATTAAAACCCTGCTGCCCTTCTGGCTCACATCACCTCTCTCAGGAGAGGCAAGAACACGAGTAACAACTTTCCTGTAATTGGCTCTCCCAGCTTGGAAAAAGAGTGAGAAAGTTCAAATGAGCTGCACGTGCGATGCAGCCCTGGAGAGCAGCTCTGCCTTTCCTGGGAAGGCAGCTCATCCTCTGCTCTCTGGATAAATGGGTTTAACTGCTCCACATCAAACCTGGCTCACAGCAACACGTCACTGTAATGAATTCTGTGCCTGGGGACACCTAGATGCCATTCAGGGGGATGGCAGGCAGGTCACATCTCTTCCCTGTGCCTCAGGTTTTCCTGATCTCTGGAATCCAGAGATAATGATCCCACTTGTGAGGGACTTTGAGCTCCATGGATTAAACTTTTAGCTTTGAATGGAGACAGAGCCACATCCCCAGCCTGGCATCGCTGATGTGCTCACAAAGCAATCAGACATGTGGGCCCCACGTGCTCCCAATCTCATAACATTAATTGGGAAGGTATTTGAGCTCAGATCCTCCAAAGTGTTCAGGTGTTTAAATCCCACCATCTCAAACAGGAATCAGGTACCTGTGACTCTTTGGAGAGGAGCATTCGGGAGGGCCTGAGCTCTGCTGCTGCCTCAGCCTCTGACATCTGCACCTCGTAACAAAGCACAGAATTGGCTACAGCAGAATATTTCAAACAAGCAGCCATCAAATCCCTGAAACATAATGGATCAAGACTTTGGATCACAGAGTGCAAAACTCTTCAGAGCCTTGAACAGCAATTCCTGATGAGAACTTGTGAAGCATTTGTGAGGCTTTGCCTGGGCTCCTAAAAAATGGGATTTCTAAAGCTCAGCTCAATTTCACTCAGGCTCGACATCAAGGCACAGCATCAGAAACATGCCATTTCTGCAGATGATGTAAAAACAGGCAGAGAGGAGAGGAAAGAAAGACATTTCTCAAGTTTTCCCTGGAGAGAAGGGCGGTGAGGGCTCAAGGCCAGCAGGGAATCCCACAGGTGCTGGGAGAGGGCTGCGCTAGCACTGCACAGCTCCCTGGGCGTGCCCAGCGCCATTCCCAGGGCAGGGAAGGGAGAGCAGCAGGAAGCCAAGGCAGCCCCGGGTTTCAGGCCAGCTTTACCTCGGCTGGCACGGCCCATGCACATGTTGTCCGGCGTCACCACCTCCTGCTTGATGGAGAAGTAGTCTGTCTGCAGCGAGTCCTGCGCCGGCTCCCGCAGCAGCACCGAGGGATAGTCGCTCTCGTACTTGAGGGACAGCAGCTCCTCCGAGCTGATGGGGTGCAGGGTCTGGTAGGACTCCGTGATGAAGCTGGGCTCCGAGAACTCGGAGGGGGGCACGCACTGGGCGTGCTCGATGCCATAACCTGGGGGCACAACAGGAGTCAAACCCTGCCCAAAACCAGCCCCGAGGAACCAGGGCATCCCCCACCCCCACCCTCAGGTGCTGATTTGGGAAAGGGTTCCAGAATCTACAGAGATGGGCTCTAAAAAGCGCAGCAGTTTAGGAAAATAAGAAGTGCCCCAGCCATCCTCAATGTGCATTGCACCAAACTCCTCCCAGGGGAGCTGCCAGACAGAAAAAGCTGGAAAATCCTGGGGAGTGGAGTCTCAGCAAAAGAGCAACAGGGCAAAAATCTTTCATTGATGGCTGGGAAAGGTGAATCCCTTCCAGAGCCACCTCTCCCTGGTGCCAGAGCCTGGAGTCCCAATCCACAGAATCGTGGAATCCCAGAAGGTTTTGGATTGGAAGGGAATTTAAAGCTCATCCAGTCCCACCCCTGCCATGGGCGGGGACACCTTCCACTACCCCAGGCTGCTCCAAGCCCTGTCCAGCCTGGCCTGGGACAATTCCAGGGATGGAGAGTCCACAGCTGCTCTGGGCACCCTGTGCCAGGGCCTCCCCACCCTCACAGCAAAGGATTTCTCCCTCACACCTCATTTAAATCTCTTCAGGTCAGTTAGGCTTTCTGCTGGTTCATGAAATGTCTCCCAGATTTCCACTGCCCTTAAAGAACACCTCCAAAGCAATGGGAAGTGCAGGAGTGCAGGTGGAGACTCAGCCCATTCCTTGCTAGGATCCTCCCTGGCAATCCAGAATGAAGCCTTCTCTCCCCATTCCCTCCCTTTTTTAACAGATTTTTTACAATTCCCAATACTCAGGTGTGCCGAGGCTGCTTTCAAAGTCTGCTGAGCAACAGCTTCAAACAAATAGTGCTTAAAAAAGTCAGATTCTGGCACACAAGGCAGCCACCAGAAAATACAGAAAGCTTCCAAATCAACCCTAAACCCTTGCAAAAACAGTATCACCCTTTGCATGGTGCAGTCCCATTGTAGTGCAGACAAATCTCTGCTAAAAGGTGCTTCCAGGCACGATAATGGTGATAATTGACATTGCTAATTGAGACTTACTAATGAAGTAGTCTGAGGTGTAGCGGGACTCGGGGTACGTGGTGTTCACTCCGTTTGCTGGGTATGGTTTCACCTCTTCTGCAAGGAGGAAAGGAAGGGAATGTCACCAGTCTGAAGGCACACAGAGCTGTGACACAGAGAGCCCTGAACTTCCCAAAATCTCCTCCCCAGGTTAAACTGGGACGTTCTGAGCAACAGAAATGAATTCAGAGCTAAAATCCCACAGAAACCTGGCTCCTTTGGGAATTCCTGCTGCAGGTATGGCCAAACTTAAACAAAAACCAACCTGGCCCAAACAGCAACAGCTTTCTGACTCAGGGCTCCAGGAGGCTCTGAGCTCCCAGCTGCATCATTTCCTTGCTTGCCTCAGGTTTTGTTGCCTCCCGTTCTCCTGGGGCCTGCTGAGCACACTTCCATGTGTGAGCTCCTGGAAAAGCTCCCCACACAAGGACACTTGTTTTCCTTGAAAAGCCCTATTTTTAGAGCAGCAGTAGGTGTGTACAAGGGAGCAGGTAACCCATCCCAAACCCAGCTCCTCTAACCCCAAATCTATGTGAATTCCCAGCCTGTGCAGCACCTGATGCAGGCAGAACATTCCATGTTCAAAACCGCTTTGTCTTGCTGTCCCTGACCCCGCTCCTGACACAGACTTCTCCATGTATACATAGTCAAAATGCCAATTTTCAGCTTTCCACAGGCATAATTCACTGGGAAAGAGCCTGGAGCATGTCAAAGCATGGATTCCCTGCTTCCCATGGCTTTTTCCAAGCGCTTTGCTCCTCCTGGGCTGCGCTGTATTTGCTTTCCCACGCAAAAGCCACCCTGCCCCTACCCTGAGCAGTTTTTCCGTGAACACCTGACTCATTCCAGCATGGCATTCTGGGCAGGGATACTGGGATGGGAGATTTTCTCTCCTTTAAGCAAACCAACGCCCCCAGGCAGCTCTGGGTTTGTGTCTGAAGCCGAGCACGGATAACGCACGTTTGCCTGTGAGGAGCCTTCATTCGGCCCTCTCCCCTGGGGATTGCAGCCTGGAAAATATTCCCTAACAAAATGGGGGGTTGTGCAAACACAGAGGACTAATGAGAAATGCTCTCATTATGTTCCTCTCCCCACAGTGTCTGCCAAGGGGCAGGGGGTGACCACAGAGCAGGGGAGAACCTTTGGCTGTGCTTAGAGTCAAGTGCAGGGCACTGCTGAGTGCTGGTAACTGAGGAGGTTATTTTAGGAAGAATTATGGAAAAATAAGCCTGAAAAACACCCAAATCCATGCAGGGGAAAGGCACCCATATGCTGTTTTTAAACCCTGGGCAGCCTGTGGTACGTGAGTCACGCAGTGCTCACAGGGGTCAGTGTCAGCTCAGGGGACAGCGGGTCACAGCCTGCCCCGGCACGACCCCGGCCAGCAGCACAGGTAAAGCCAAAGCCGGGCATTTCAGGGTTAAGAACCACTCCCAGCACCAACAGCCCCAGTGATGATTGTGGGAAAGATGGAGAGAAAAGCTGGAACCCTGGCTGAGCCTGGAGACACCTGGATCTCTTCCCACATCACATCCAGGTGCAGAGGGAGACCCCCAGCTCCACCTGCATGGGCAGGGACAGCTCTGTTCTGTCTGTACAACACCAGCACAGCCCAGCTCTGCTCAGGGCTGGAGATGGGCCCCAAGATTTACAGGGAACCAGTCTTGGGGGGGAGGCTGGTTATTTCTTGGAAGCTTTTTGTTACTCACCAAATACCTCACTGAAAATGTGTTCAGAGCCCACCAGAGGAGAAAAGGCCCTGCTTGTACAAGAGTGACAAAGTCACCAGTGAAACCAAACAGGGAATGGAGACTTCTTGGCTCCCAGGGCAACACCAACAGTGTGAAGACACAGAAATTCAGCTTTATTCATTTTCAGCCTTTCAGAAGAGTTGCAGCAGGGACAAAGATTTTCATCTTCTTTGAAAAACTCCTCCCTATCCCAGGCCTTTGTACCATCAATACTGCAGTGTCTGAACACCCACATGGGTCAGTGCCGTCTGAGATGATGAAATTATCATTCCCACTCTGCCATAAATTTACAGCATGAAGTCCATCTCCATGTGTGGGGAATCTGCAGGATGGAGGTGCAAACCCAGCCCTGGTGCCTCAGTCAGTACCTGCAGCACATCCCACCCTCTCCAGTGGGCACAGCACAAAAAAGTCACAGAATTACAGAATCCTAGGATGGGTTGGGTTGGAAAGAACCTCGAAGACCACCTATTCCCAGCCATGGGCAGGGCCAGCAAGGAAGAAGGGCTGTGGGAAGGTGCAAGCAATGGCTCATTGCAAGAAGAAATTGGGCTGACCACAAGGTTTGGCTTTGTTTGGTTAAACTGCTCAGTGTTGATCCAAGCACTCCATGAAAAATATGCAAAACAAAAAAGGACAGACCAGATTTAGAGCCCCAAGAGCAGGAAAACAGCCTGGCCTGCCCAGAGCCCGGGAAGGGCCGTGTTTACCTTCTGCAAACCACAGGTAGCAGTAAAATTAGTAATGGGCAATTAACATCCATTTGTCAATGGTTTCCTGGAAGGAATAACTGTGCTCCCCCTCCCCTTCCTGCCACCAGGGTCAGTAGGACAGCACAGGGGACATTCCAGGAAAGCAAATAGCTCTGCAGAAAAAGGAGCTGGAAAAAGAGTCCAGGTGTACTGCAGCTCCTGCTTGTGGCTCAGGTAGAGGTGCTCAGCTCCTCGCCTGCTCCTCATAAACCATCCCAGTGCTCCTGAGCATCCAGACATGGAAAGTCAACACTCTAAATCAAAGTGTGAGTCCCCAGTCACTGACAGTTAATGCCCTGGATGCTGTCATGCAGGGAATGGCACGGATGGCTTCTCCTCCCAGAAATGCTGGTTCTGGGGACATGAAACACCCGGTTTTTGGGACATGGAACAAAGCAAAGTAGCTTCCAACCACCACTGGGAAATTTGGGTTTTCAGAATTTTGGCTGTATTCCTATACCCAGTTCCAGTAGAGGAAACAGTAAAATTCACAACAGGAGCTGAACAGGCTGAGGAAAAATGCTTTGGAAAATCCCACCATGGATTCCAGGCAGGCAGAGCGTCCCTGCCCACCGGGGATCCCTGCCAAGCAGCCGGCACAAACACTCTTTGAGGCACTGCCAGGATTTGCCTCGCCTGCTGCCGTTGGGATGCCTACTTGGAATCCTGCTGAAAAGCTGGGCTTTGCAAGATGATTTTCCTGGGATTAAAGCTCAAGGTGATCACCTCATGGTCTATGGAAAGCCCCAAAACCAGGCTGGCCAGGATGCTGTGAATTGTTCGCCCAGGAGACTCAGGACTCACCTTTCTGCAGGATCTCCAGATGTTCCCAAAGGATATCACCCACAAAGTCAGGTGCCAGCTCCAGGAAGCACTCCTTGCCCAGGGCACAGAGGGCAGCTCCGTTCATGCAGAACTTCTGGAAATCCACTTCCTTCAGGCTGAACTCGTTCACTGCCCACATCACCCAGTCCCGCACGTGCGTCTCTGTCCATTGCTGGGGGTCTGCAGAGGGATCCAGCAGTGAGCATCCCCAGGCAGCTTTCCCAGGAAAACGGGACACACACAGTGCTCCAGCCAGCCTGCATCAGCCTCATCCGTGCAGACTGGCAGCCCGCTGGCATCAGGGTGTGAGGAACACCATGCCCAGTCTGGATCAGCCTTAATGCGGATACATTTCATCCGAGGAAAAAGCTTTGGATTTCTTTGGGATTTCTAAAAACCCCATAACTTCTCTGACCTCCTTCTCCCACCCATTTCTCCAATTTTCTTGGTCTCTCCCTGTCACCAAGCTCTGGTAAAGGGTCCCTGCTGCTTCTCTGTTTAGTGGAGATGATTTGTCCACGTTTTTCCAGCTGAAGCTCCCAAGAAGCATCAGGTGGTGTTTGGAAGGCAATGCCACCCGAGGAGAGACAAAGGGGGAGATGGCAGACGGGGAATTCTGGGCGGCCTGGAAGGAGGACACAACCCCTGTGGGTGCCATGGCTGTTCACAGGAAGCCATGTCTTACCTTTGGGAATTCCCAGCCGCTGCTGCTCCTTGGCAAAGCCGCTGAACGTGGCTTTCAGTGCCTGGGACATCATTTCCTTGCTGCTGGGCGTTAATAGAGGCACGTCCGCACATTCCATGTCTGAAAGAAGCAGGAGAAAAACACGGCCATGAGGACACAGGACTGGGAAAGATGTCAGGGAATGCTTGCCAGGTGCACACAGTGTCACTATGCTTCTGGAATGTGCTACTGGATGATGATATCAAGGCCTTTCCAGACATCAGCCTGCTGGGCTTCAGCATTCCAGGTGTGTCTGGAGCCTGGGAAATGGCTCAGCAGCTCCAGGCACTGAGGAAGGCAGAGTCCAACAGCAGGGTGAGCAAGAAAGAGGGAGAAAAGCATCCCTGAATTACTACTCTGTCATCCCAGTCCAAAGAAAAGCAAGGAGAAAATTAAAGACTCCTAGAAAATTCTTCATCCTAGGAAGTTCTTCCCTGTGGGGGTAGGGAGGCCCTGGCATAGAGAAACTGTGGCTGCCCCTTCCCTGGAAGGGTCCAAGGCCAGGTTGGAACAACCTGGGATAGCAGAAGGTGTCTCTGCCCAAGGCAGGAGGTGGAATGGGATGGTCCCTTCCATCCCAAACCATTCCATGATCCTGTGACTCCATGGAAAGGCGAGCTGGCAGCAGGCTGAGACAGGATGGAGAAGTGGCAGAATACCCATTTGAGGGGGGAAGGGAAACAAAGAGCTGGAAAATCCCACATTAGCCCAGAGTTACGTCATGCACGGAGTGAGGAGTGAGTCATGGACAATGGCAGCCTTCCCATGGGACAGCGGGGCCAAGAGCCAGGCCTGGAGTAAATCCTGACAAGGACCAAACCTCGTCCTTTCCTTTCTTTAATCCCATTTTCTAATTTATTTGGGAGAAGATGAATCTTTCAAAGAGTCTCACAAATAAAAGCAACCATTTGAGGCAAAATATCTGAATAGAGGTTTGGCCCTTTTTTCCACACTTCCAGTATTCCTGAAAAACATCTTTGATGGAGAAGGAAAGTCTTGAACAACCACCATCCCAATAACTGCATTTGGTCAGCAGAGATGGAAATCTTCCACCTGAGGTTGGTTTAGCTCTGCAGCCTAGCGGAAATTTTCCATGAAAACTCAGTGGAAAAATGACACCATGGGCAAAGTCTTTGGTGTTCTGGACACAGACATTGAAAAGAAAAGAATTCTGTGTCTTGTGGAAACTCAGCCACTGCAGTTTTCCATCGCTCCAAGTTCGTTATGCTCCTGATTTAATAAACCTTTACACCTGCAAAATGCTGCTGAGGGCTTGTTCCAGGCAGTGTTGGTGTATTCCTGATAAAACACGGAGTCAGGGATGGAAGCAGCGCTGCAGCCACTGGGAATAGCCAGCCCAGCTGCTTCCCAGTCTGCCCCAGTCTGGAGTTCCTGCTCCACTCAACTCCTCCCCAGCCAAACTCAGGGCATCATTTAAAGTCCAAACAACCCAACACTGGGTTTTTTCCAAGTGGGAATCTGGGAGTTGGGTCAATACAATTCCAGGGCAGTTGTGGAGTCATCACCCCTGGAAATGTTTAAAAATGTGGGAAATGGTTGGAGCCCATGATCTCAGAAGGCTTTTCCAACCTAAACAATCTCGTGATTCCACAGATAAACCTCCACATGCAGCTCTGTAGCACAAGGTGAGGGTGACCATGCTGCAAACGCCCCAAATCATCTGCTGGATGCTCCCAAAGCAATTCCACTGCCAAGCCAAACAGAGCAACTTTCTCTGTCCCTGCTTCTGCCCCTTTCACCTCTCAGCCCCAGTTCAAAAATTCCCCCTTCCCTTTGCACATCCTCCAGCCAAGTCCTCAAGGCTCTCTAGAAATGATTTGCAGACTCTTGACTCGGGTAGGAACAGCGACATTCCCGACAGAGTCTCTCAGGACACAATTCCTGCCCTCAGCTCACTGCACAAATCCACGATTGCCTCCTGCCTGCAGCATCAGGACCTTCCAAAGCAAATCCCACATCCAAAGGCAAATTACACAATTTGGCAAATTACACTTCATTATTTACTGGATTTGGCTGGAGAGGGCATGGAAAATGAGCAGCCACCATCGCTATCTCTGCTCCCCATCTGCTGCTTGAGATAACACTGGGAGAAAGTGGCTCAGTGCCCCTTTGCCTTCATCCTCAAGTTACATTTGAATGCTCTGCTCTCCCTGCTCTGTGGTCACAGGGACCACCCAGGAATCTGCTCCCTCTGCCTGCCTCAACAGCAGCTCCTGACTGCCCTGGGAAGATGAGTCAGAGCCAGGCTGAGAAAATGGTTTTAACCCCAATTTGAACACTGAATCACCCATGAAAACCTGTGTGGAGGTGAACTTCTCAGGCCAGACACCAAGAGCAGGATGAAAAATGGTATTTTTATCTCTGCAATAGCAAGGGCTCATCCCTGATCCTGCTGTTTGGTCGTGCAGGATCCATGGGGTTGGCTTTGCACAAACCCAGCGAATCAATTTTTCAGTAGCGGGGGGATAAGATTTCGGTTTAGGAAGGTGAATGCTGAGCTCTGCACAAACAACCTGTCAAAACAGGGGAGACTTAAAAGTGATTCCCAGGGAGAGGTCACAGGGAAGCAAACAGTCTGTTCCCAAATAAAAAAAAAGAAAACCATGCCAGAGGACAGTTTCTATTTAAACACCCAAATCAACCCAAATGTGCATTGCAAGGCTTCTGCAAAATATGTTGTGCTCGGCAGATTTAGCACTGAAACATCATCTGCTTTTTTCCTGCGAGGTCGCAGCCACTTGTTCAAATTTCTGCTGAGGACAAAGCAGCCCCAAAGCCCTGAGCCTGCAGAAGCCTTGGTTGGGTCAGCAGTGTCCCAGAGCTGGGGCAAACTCACCCAGGGAAAACCAAACGTGTATGTGAAGCTCTGCAGATGTGTCTGGGGACAAGGCTTGGCCGGGTGGCTTGAGAAAGATGGGGTGGATGGACAGTTTTTACCCTAAATTCTGACTCTGCTGCTTTGAATTATTTAAATAATTCGTTATTTATTTAAAAACTGGGTGGTTTTTGTGCAGGGAGCATGGTGGGCTTCACCCAGCTCTGTGCAGGGCCACGAGTCAGACTTAGTGATCCCTGTGAATCCCTTCCAACCTGGAATATCCTATAACTCTATCAACTTTTCTGGGTGCAGGGAAATTCCTTCCCATGGAGGCAAACCCAGCCCTGGCAATGTCCTCCAGCCCTTCGCCTCCAGTCTGGGATGCCTAAAGGTCAGAGTTGAGCAGAATTTCAGGAACAAAAGCAACAAACCCGGCTTAGCTGCCCCGGTATCAGCTTTCAGTGCCATCTGAAACCTGTTTGCAAGATTTTAATCAAACCCTGCACCAATAAAACCTCTCCTTTAGTGCTGCCCACAGAGCACAGGGCTGTGTGCAGGGGCCAGGGTGGGAGCCAGCACCAGAGCCAGCTGTTCCACCTAAACCCAGTTCAGGAATGCTGGGGCTTTAATCCCAAAAGCAAGCTCAGCAGCAGGGGCCAGGCTGGGAATTCTGGCTGGTTTTTACGAGCCCATCAAAGCCCCCTGACACAGCTGCCACGTGCACTCGGCCGCATGGATGCCGTGTCCTCGTCCTGTGCCGACAGAGCCGCCTTTGATTTCCCTCCTGGGAGAGCAGGCAGGGAGTTATGGTTTGATTTTTAAACAGTGCCAGGAGTTGCAGTCACCCAGGGGAGTTATGTCAGCAGCACATGCAGCATCTGTAGAGCAGAGATGCAGAATTTGCCTCGCATGGGGGCAGTTTTTATCTGGCTGCAGCTTTCCAAGGCAAAGAGGGATCTGGGGGCTCCATGGCTTCTCCAAACCAGGCCCCTGCAGCTCCCTGACATCCCTGGGGATGGGACTTGAGAGAGACGAGAGAATAAAACACAACAACATTGCCCTGGATGGGTTCTGTGCCCAGACCCCCCAGCCAGGGGCACGTGGAGCCTGAGAGAAAAGCAGGAGCAAAGAGGCCAAGATCAGCAAGTTCATCTCCCAACCCAATTCCCACTCTGCTCCCACCAGGCCCTGCATGTGTAAACTATTTCCACACATCTGATCTTTTTAAAGGACACGGATTTACAAACTTTTGGGATTTTGACCTTCAAATGCACAGAACTCCTCTGCATGCCAAAGCCATTTGCAGCTGATTGCAGAAGGAAAATAAATGGCAGTCAGGGAAAAAGAAAGGATGCTCCGAGCAGAAGGATGGGAGCAAAGTCATTTTTCAGCCGAGTTTCCACTCGGGGTCAGTGACTCCTCCAAGCTCCCCTCGGCCACTCACTTTTTTTTCCATCAGAGCCCCAGTGTGTCCCTGTGTGGGGTTTCACCCAGTAGCTGCTGGAAATGGATGTGGGGAGGGTCAGAGCAGAGCCACCTGAGCCCACAGCACCTCCTGTCCCTGCCCTGATGGATGCACGGACACCAAGGGCAGGAACCCGAGGTCTCCTCAGCCTCCCCTTCCCAGGCCTGGAGCACACGGATGTCATGGAGATTCCAGGCCTTTGTGTGGCTTGGCAGAGGCACAGGGACAAGGGGGAAAGGCTTTTGAAGGAAATAGGGTAGATTTAGCTTTAGATTAGATTTTAAGAGGAAATTCCTCCCTGTGAGGGTGGGCAGGCCCTGGCACAGGGTGCCCAGAGCAGCTGCGGCTGCCCCTGGATCCCTGGCAGTGTCCAAGGCCAGGCTGGACAGGGCTTGGAGCAGCCTGGGGCAGTGGAAGGTGTCCCTGCCATGGCAGAGGTGGGACTGGATCGCCTTTAAGGTCCCTCCCAACCCAAACCATTTCAGGATTCCATGATTAAGTTAGGGGAGAAGATGCACATTGGTTTCAAACAAGATCATTTGCAGGGACTGTGCATCCAAGGGCTTCATGAATTCATGCCTGTGTCCCTCAGAAACTTCAGCCCTTGAGCCCTGAGGCAGCTGAGATCCCCTGGAGCCCCCATCCCATCCTTCTGGAGCTGCCCACGCTCCAGGATGTCCCCCCACTGCTGAGTGACAATGGAGCAGGAGTTTCCCAGAGGCTCTGCAAGGGGTGACAGGGGTTCACTCTCCCACCCTGTTCCCATGTGCCCACAGT